AAAAACAAAACACCCCCCCCCCCCAACAACAAACAAAACAAAAACATGATGGCATACGCGCATTTCTTGAACAGAATCGCCGATGTGTAATCAGTAATCACCTTACTGTTTTTTTTTATGTCACTTGCCATGGTTGTGCTGTTGCTGTCGGTATAATTTTATGATTTTTTAGTTGGCATACAATTTAGATTATGACGCCGGGATAGAAATATTCAATAATAATAATTTATATTATAAGGAGAAAACGTACTTAAAAAAAACAACTTGTGGACTTTTGAAAACAGTTTGATCCCCAAGCATAGAAGGAATAAGCATCATCAGTACAAAAAAAATCCCTTGGGTGCATTCAGAACCCCCCCCCCCACCCCCTACAAGACAGCGAGCTGTCCAAATTCTCAAAACTAACCTTATTATTGCCCCCCCCCCCTAACAATAATAGTAAACAGCATACTCTTAGGTTTTTAAAGAAAGGACTTCTTTTTTAAAACTCTACCCTCCTCTCTCCGTCTTTTTCTCTTTTAGCTATCTTCTCTCAGCACGCCTTTTCTCCAACCTCTCTTTCCTTTTTCCTCACCCCCGTACTGTAAATATATGTAAATCTATACAACCATCAATATTTTTTTTCGTCAGCTATGTAATCTACACAACTAAAAGATAAAAAAGAACTTAGAAAAAAATATCTTGTTTATCAACACTTATCAATTGCAATGCAGTAGTTGAGAATAATGGTAAGCTCTCTGGTGTGTGCACAGTTTTGTGTGTCTGCATTCATCCCTGCGTGTTATAGAAAATCAGTGTTCCGGCCAGCAGCAGGCCAGTCTGAGGCAAAAACTGTCGTGTTGAACCACTTTTATATTCGTACACCATCATGGACAAACGCTGGGAAACGAAGTCAGACAAATAATACAGAAACATATATATATATATATATATATAGATAGATAGATAGATAGATAGATAGATATATATATATATATATATATACGAGTACATGACTTTAAAAAGCCATAAACAAAAACAACGTTTAAATCAAGAGTGGTCGCAACTAATAGACTTTGTCCATCTCATTATCATCATCCGGTGCCTTGCCGACTGGCGTGGGCGATCATGGACCTCCACTTCACACTGTCTTGCGCTGCAGCAATGTTGTCTGTTGTTCTTGCTGCTCCCTGCCATGTTGTCATCTTGTCTAGTATCTTTTCCCCCCGTTTGCCTCGGCCTCTCTTTACATCAAACTTGCTTGTAGTTACAGTATTCTCCAATGTTTCGTTCCGCATTGTGTGTCCGAAAAATTTGCCTGTCGCTTTCGTATATTCGTCATAAGCTGTTTTCTGCAATTTGCTTCAACTAAGACTTCTTCATTTGTTTTTTCTAGCTCTCCATCTACCTAGCCGAATTATGTTTTGATCCTCATTAAATGTGCATTTCGCTTACCTTCTGAATGAAAGATGTAACTCCCGATGTACAGAACAAACATGGCCCTGGAATGTTGGCCGAAAGAGATAATATTCAAACCAAGAACAGGGACAAAACAATATTGTTCTGAGCTTTGATGAACACGATCCTTTCTTCTTTGATCTCGGTAGACCTTTAATTTTTTTTACAATGTTTGAAATCAGGGGAAATCGCCAATAACTTTTGCATGTATCTACCTGGATGATCTGCTTTATTAAATCTCGTATCCCTTCCTGAGGACACAATATTTCATCGCCTCTCCAAACCCTATCTCCCATTCCCGGTCTCTCTCTCTCTCTATCTCTCTCTCTCTCTCTCTCTCTCTCTCTCTCTCTCTCTCTCTTCCCCCACCTACCCCCCCTCTCTCTCTCTTTCTCTCTCTCTCTTTCTCTCTCTCTATCTCTCATCTCTCTCACTGCCTAAACCTCAGACTGTCTTTTCTCTCCCCATCCGTCCCTCTTTCCGCCTCTCTCCCTGTTGTCTCTTTGTCTCTCTGTTTGTCTGTCTCCCCCCCCTCTCTCTCTCTCTCTCTCTCTCCCCTCTCTCTCCCCCCCCCCTCTCTCTCTCTCTCTCTCTCTCCCTCTTTCAATATTTGTTCTTTTTTGTCCCTCTCTTTCTCTCAGACATTTACAATAGCAGTTCCTTATTTTCTTTTCTTTCTCTCAGTTACTTACAGTCTCACTTTTCCCCACAAGCTATCCGACTCTCTATCGTCGCCTGTGATGTAAAATAATTGCTAAACGTCAAATCATGAGTGACGAGTAGAAATTTTCTTAGTGTGCACGGAGCCTAACAGGCATGGTCGCAGCAGCCCGCCTCTTATATTATTCAAAGTATAGTAAGTACGAGGACTCAACAACACAAGTATTCATTATCGCATTCCATTTCATTCTCATTTCGCCCCCCCCCCCCTCCCGCGACTCGCTATTACCCCCCACCCCCTACTCATTTTTATTTCTAAACTTTCCCAAACCGCAGTGTATGCCGCAGTCTTCTTCGCTGGTCGTAGTGAGGGTTGTTTGAGGGTGTTCTTCTTCCTGGACGACCGTGCTTCCGGATGCAGTCTGCTCCACCAAGAGTCCCATCTCGCGGACAATAAACCAACGCTTGACGCCGCGGGATGTAGTTCTGCTCTCCCCTTCTTTGTGGCCGCGCTGAACATCGTCTGTAGTGTTATATGCTACAAGGTGGGTGGGTGGGGATGGTTGGTGTAAGATTGCATAACTTGTTCCAGTGTGTGAGTTTTTTTTTTTGTGTGTGTGTGTGTGTGTGTGTGTGTGTGTGTGTGTGTGTGTGTGTGTGTCTCTCTCTCTGTGTGTGTGTGTGTGTGTGTGTGTGTGTGTGAGATAGTTTGTGTGTATGTGTGTGTGTGTGTGAGAGAGAGAGTTTGTGTGTATGTGTATGTGTATGTATGTGTGTGTGTGTGTGTGTGTGTGTGTGTGTGTGTGAGTGTGTGTGTGTGGGAGATAGTTTGTGTGTATGTGTGTGTGTGTGAGAGAGAGTTTGTGTGTATGTGTATGTGTATGTATGTATATATATATATGTGTGTGTGTGTGTG